TTACATGTACAGAGGGAACTCAACATATTTACAGTTTATCTATTAGTCCATTTATTCATGCATAAAGGCATTTACTGAATAAACCAAATTACTCTAACTTGCTTGTGGTCTTCCAATGACCTATTGGGTAACATAGACACTTAGGCCTTTGGGATAGGCCATTCAGCCTATTGGGGAGAGACCCAACCAGAGTAGCATTAAATCTATCTATTGCTCTTCTTGATTCCAGTCCTGGATAAGCCTTAGCTTCTTTCAGCTCAAAGTTACCAAGACGGAAGCCAATCTCCTCGGCTCCCGTCAATACCTTCTTGCTTCTGGTTCTGTCTTCTTCAACCTTCCTGACCTCTCTCTCCAATTCACTGAGCTAGCGTGATATCTTGGTATTCAGTTTGACCCTCGACTCTCTTTCCTTCCGGATATCCAAACCCTGACTAAGACCACTTTTTTGCATCTTTGCCACATTAGCCACCCCACCCTTCCTCTCCCACCCCCCACCCAGTGCTGATAAAACCCTCATCCACATGTTCAGAACCTTCCATTTCAACTTCAACAAATTCCCTTCTCCCTGGCCTCATCACCTCTACCACTACCTCTACCACCTACAAGCTCCAGATCATCCATACTTCGCTTTCTATGTTCTTTACTCACAAGAGGCTTAGAATGCTTTGTGGGTATTATCCACATCCTCAATAAACTCCACTAGTTCCCCTTCTTCCAATGGATTGACTTCAAGATTCTCATTCGCCTACAAATTCCTTCACAATTGCACAATCTGCTTTCCACTGTCTCCACATGATTGTCTGCTTCCATTCCCTACCGCACCCCCTATATAGAAGCCCAAATCCTTATTCAAACTGTCTCCAGATTTCATTTCTCTAACTTGCCCACCTTCCTGGTTTAGCTGTCCATAAATTCCAGCTCTGCAACCTATGTTCTTTCCCACACCTGGTTCTGTGAGTTTATCATTCTTGCCAGGATCAACTAATTCACTCTTTCCCAGCAGATTAATTTCAATGCCTTGTTTCAATTTTCAAACGCCCTTGCCCTACCCTTCCTCTGTGATCTTCTGAAATCCCACACCCTCAACTCTGCTGATTTAGGCATGCTACTAACTCTCCACCCTCTCCACTTTATCAAGCTTTCAGCCACTTTGCTCGCCCTCTGTGAAACTCTCTCCCTAAAACATTGTAATTATCATTTACCATCAGTGCCTTTAATTCCACCAATTTATTTTGAATGCTTCTCACAGTTAAGTATCTGGGGAGAAGAGAACAAGAGTCCTGTAGCTCAGTGGTTAGAGCACTCGCTTTGCAAGTGAGAGACCTGAGTTCAATTCCAGGCAGAGGGCGAAACCTTGGGCAAGTTTCCTTACTCCACACGCCTATTAATAATCCCTCCAAAACTAAAAACAATAATTAAATTGGTCATTTTCAATCTACGACTGTTTGTGGGACATTGCTGTGCGCAATTGGCTGCCGCGTTCGCCCACAAATATACAGTCAATTCACTTTACAGTGTGTTCTGTGAAGCGCATTGGGACGTCCTCCCGACGTGAAAAGCGCTATATCAAATGCAAGGATTATTATTATTATTAAGATGCATCCCTGCAAAAAATATTTGAGACTGAGACAACCTACGGTACCTCACTATGGTTCCAGTGCAATGGTGACAAGGTCGCTTGGCTGAATTCTCATTTTACTAAACCTGAATGGGGTAAATTCAAAAAGCAACTTACAAAAGGGGAGGAAATCAAATCTCAACTAAGTAACCAACTTCCACTTTTGCTTCTCTTTTTGCAAGTTACACAGGATTACATCTCAAAGTGCTTCACAAAAATGGAGTCAGACCCTGAGCGGGGTGAGAGAGGAGGAGGAGACTGCAGGCAGTCAAAAATAGTTCTTTTCAGAAAAGGTTTGAAAGTGGAGAGGGATGGCAGGAACCTAAGAGTGGTGGAGCAAAGAGATCTGGGTATTCAGATCTACAAATCTCTAAAAGTAAATCTCTAAAAACTATCCCATGAGCAGGGCGCTGTATAAATACAATTTGTTGTCATTTGTTGTAAAAGTAGCAACACAAGTAGATAATGCCATAAAAAGTGTCAATGGGGTCTTGGGCTCTATATGCAGAAGGATAAATTACAAAAATGAGGAGACAATGCTGAATTTGTATAAAACCTTGGTTAGACTGCTGTGCCCAATTCTAGTCAGCACACTACAATTAAGATATAGCAACGATGTAAAGAGAACAGCATAGATTTAGTAGGATGATATTAGGGCTGGCAGGTTACGGCTATCAGAAGACTAGATAGGTTAGGTCTTTTTTCCCCAGAGAAGATGTTTAAGGTGTTTAAAATTATAAAACGGTTTGGTAAGGTTAACATAAATAATCTGTTTCCATCGGCTGGGGAGTCAGTAACCAGGGGACACAAGTGTAAGATAGCGACTAGGGGATCTGGAAAAGAAATTCGGAAACGACTTCACACAGAGGATAGTGAGATTGTGGACCTCACTGCCCAACTCAATGGTTGAAGCAGGTAATACAGATGCATTTAAGTGGAAGTTTTATATACACATGAAGGAGAGGGGAATAGAAGGGTATGGGAGGGAGTAAGGAGTGGGTGGAGGCTCACATGGAATATAAACACTGATTTGGTTGAATGACCTGTTTCTGTGCTTATTTACAATCTATGTAAATCTAAACATTGGGAACCTGAAGTGCACATGGTCTCCTTTGTAGGAATTGTGGGACAGGTGCTATGTTACGCTTATGGTACCCCTCTTCACTGGCAGAATATGGCTGCTACACCACATTGTATTACCACCACTTTGTTTGTTCCAGTTCATAAAATGGTAGAAAACCATCCCCATCAGTCAGGAGGTGAGGAAAGTACAGTATTAATCTGATATCAGAACAGGTTGGATGAGTGAGTATTAAAACATGTCCAAACACTGAACTTATTAGCTACATCAATACTTTTTAAAAATTGTTTTGTTTTTTGCACCACCTCTCGGTCTGAACCTATCCCTTAGACTCATCGAACCAGTGCGTAACCTAGGCATCAGGTTCGACCAACAGCTGTCCTTCCTTCCCCACATCCGGTCCCTCACCAGGACCACCTTGCTCCACCTCCGCCACATCACCCGCCTCCGACCGTACCTTATCCCAAATGCAGCTGAAATTCTGGACCACGCGTTTGTCACCTCCCGACTGGACTTCTCAAATGCCCTCTTTGCCGGACTCCCCAGCTCCACCGTCCACAGGATCCAACCAATCCAAAACTCCTGTCCACATACTCACCCGTACTAAACTCCGTACCCCCATCACACCAGTTCTAGCCAAGCTCCACTGGCTCCGAATCATCGAACGGATCGATTTCAAGATCCTCACACTTGTTTTCAAATCCCTTCATGCCCGGGAACCTCCCTACCTCTCCAACTTGCAACCCATAACCCGCTGCCTCCGCTCGACTGGATCCAGCCTTCAGCTTGTTCCCCGCGCCCTCTGTTCTACCATTGGTGGCCGCTCTGCCAGCTACTATGCCCTCAAACTCTGGAACACTCTTCCTCTCTCCCTCCACCTTGCTCTTTCCTTCCCCATTTTCAGGTTGTACCTGAAGACCTTCCTCTTTGACCGTGTCTACGGTCATCTCCCTTTCCCCGGCTCGGAATCGTGCTCCGCCACTGTCAAGCGCCCTGGGACGCTACCCTGTGTGAGGGGCACTACATAAATGCAAGTGGATGTTGTTTCTACATGTGTAAATGTCAGCTGTATACAGCATTAAGAGAAACAGAAGCATTTTAGTGCAAAGGCCTCAATACTGCATAACAATATAAAACTGCTTTACCTATCAGTTGCACACAAGAATGATTAACAGAAACACTTTTGAGGATATATTTTATATTTATTGTTCCATTTGTTACTGTTCACTCTACAGTAATAAAAAACAAAATATACTGTACTGAAATGCTGATATCTTATGTCCAGATGACATTACCATTACAATATATATATATACAGCTGTTAACAGCTGCATCGCTGAGTGTAAACACCATTCCTGGACCAAATATCAGCTTTTTAAGCAAAGGTGAAATAGCATTATATCAAAGTCACCATGTTGATAATTTACACAACAAATTCTTTCTTATGCTGAATGCTGGAATTAGCTGTACAGTAAAAGCATTATACTGTAGTTACTTTCATGGTGCATGAGAGAAACTGTGCATGAACTCTAAGAAGCTGGAGTAATGCTGTATAAAATGATTTTTTCCCCCACCAAATTCTAATTTTGTAAAAATCATTTTAACTGTTGACAAGGGACACAAATGAAATCAGTTACATTGGTAAGAATTGATGTAAATTAAATCATCAAATTGTCTGCAAAACACATCGTTGTTAATTACATTAGGAATCACCGTGCCTAGGAAACCAACCCACACAAAAGAGTATTTATTTCATAGACCAAATTCAATAGCTTTGGATGCATTTCCATTTTAGAATAAAGTGGCAACTCAGTAATACAGATTCATACAACACTTTACTGAAAATGGCTGGTGGACACAAAATAAATTCTACTGAGTGGGATTACTAATCCTGATGAAGTTTATGGAGAAATGTCCTACAGTGTTTAAAACAGTTTCAAAATTTAAAAATGTATTCAAAATATTCAAATGATAAAACACTTTTTGAATCTTAAAACTATAAACAAGTGAACATTTCCCACTTTTCATTTCTGAAACAAAGATGTAATAATAATAATCCTTGCATTTGATATAGCGCTTTTCACGTCGGGAGGACGTCCCAAAGCGCTTCACAGAACACACTGTAAAGTGAATTGACTATATATTTGTGGGCAAACGCGGCAGCCAATTGCGCACAGCAATGTCCCACAAACAGTCATAGATTGAAAATGACCAATTTATTATTGTTTTGTTTTTTGGAGGGATTATTATTAGGCGTGTGGAGTAAGGAAACTTGCCCAAGGTTTCGCCCTCTGCCTGGAACTGAACTCAGGTCTCTCACTTGCAAAGCGAGTGCTCTAACCACTGAGCTACAGGACTCCGATGTATTCCTAAGTATAGAAATAATTTTCTTTTAAATGAAAGAGAAGTTATTTCCCACAAAGTGTTCATTCCATTTCCTGTGGAGAAATGTTATAGATGAAGAGAATCAGCTCACACCTTGAAATTGTATTTAAAATTATTCTTTTTTTGCAAAATTATAAATTAGGAAGAAGCACCTCTTTACATTCAACAGTGAATACATTACTTAAATGCTGTGTAAAAATGGTGATAAAAATTCAGAAGTACATAGTCTACTATCAGCAATAATAGAATAATCAATTACTACTGTACTGTATTTTTAAGATATAAAACATTTCCTTTTGTCTTTTGCATCTTTACTTAAAAAGCTGCTAGCAACACATTCCTCAAGATCTTTTGAAAGTTGAGTTTTCTTTGGGACAGATTACTTGAAAGATTTCATAATCTCCATTTCTTATTGTGACCCCTGTGGAACTCTCTCCTAAAATCCTTGTTCCTTCTTGCTCCATATTCAAAACCCAACTTCCTCTGTTATTCTACATGAAAGGCACCACCTAAGATCAGGTTGCTGATGTTTCTGCTATTTAAGTATAATAATTGTGACAAAATGGGAGTTATCATTTATGTGCTGATAATTACACAATTTAAAATGTGTCTACTCATTTGTTGGTTCTGTAGATTGAATCCTAGTTGTCCTCACTTACAAAAAGATCAAAGTGTTTGGTAATACACATAAAAAGTGCCCATTATGTTAAAATGTTCCGAAAGCACTTCACAAGCTGTATAAGTGTAAAGTATAACATATTGTAACACAGTGCAACAACTGTGTATTTGAAGGTAAACTTGAAATAATAATCCTTACATTTGGTATAGAGCCATTCACATCAGGACGACATCCAAAGTGGTTTACGGGATTTAGTGTTTAGCTTGGGTTTGAAATGCCGTCATGTCCTCCCGACGTGAAAAGTGCTATACAAATGTAATCTTATTGTTGTTGTTCTACGTGTACTTGTGGTCTTCCCTCATCTATGATAGCTTAAAAATGGATCAGTGGCAAACTAAATTCCTGTTATTTTACTGTGCTCTCAAACTTCAATCATCATTTCTTGATATTGATAAGATTTGAAAGTGACCTCTCAAAAGTAAGAATTGCAGTCTCTTTAAATACGGTCTTTACATTCAAATTATGTTACTTAAAGTTGATGCTCCCAATTACTTTAGATTCATTGTATTCACTTTGAACAGAAAACTTTTGGCCAACGTTGAACTCAAACTTGGTTGAAATATCCTCATAGATAAAGGTAGTGGCACAGCTTACTAATATATAGTCTGATTCAGCCCGACTGTTAGGGAGTTCAGGGCACACCTTCACTTCCAAGTCTCACTAATCACATAAACTGACCGGTCAACAGTCAAAAATAATGAGAACCAGACTGACTTAGTCAGGCGTGTCTCCTAGAATCCTGTTACCTTTCTTTCAATCTCTCTCTTCCCCCTAACATTTTTAAAAAAAATAAAAAGCACCAAGATATTAATTTATTGAACTCTAACTAGTAAAGAGCTAAGTGGATTAGCCATGATTCAAAAAGAACCATATGTACTTCCAAAGCGTTATTGGGGAGAATCGTGTATATAAGAATCAATCTAAATGAACTTGATCCTGAGCTTTAAAAAGTACAATAATTCAAAAAAACAAAGCTCAAATCATGGATTGTTTCATGTTAACATACATTTGTGGCTACAAAATGTAAATGGTATACACCGCTAGACAACTTACAACCAAATTTATTAATGAGCAGTTTAAACTAGTTGTAAATAATATTTATAAACTACAGTATAAATGTATGTCCATAAAGCATTGCACACAACCACTATGACTGTGAATAAACAAGGCATATGAAATTCCACATATGCAAACTAACTACATTTGCACATTTCTCTTCGTCTGGAAGGAATGTGCACTCTCCCCAGAACAACACTGTTTAGCTAATCACAGAAAGTATTAGCCGTAAGTTAAAAGAAGGCAAGGCTTAGGAACCCCAGTATAGGTTCAGGAGTGGAAACTGTATGCCTTGCTATTGTAAACACTGTCTTGCAAGCTTCCAGCCACTTATCCAGCTGGGACCACTCTAAACTTTAGCTTGCAGGGTTAATAGAACCAAGCAAGAGGAATCCCAACCTCAGTAGCACTATGCACAGAAATCACAAGAAGGATGAAAGAGATCCTTTGGCCTACTTGATCTGCCCTTTTAGGACTACCAAACTTCATTATAGCTCAAGCTGTTTTGAAATAAGCCTATTGTTGTAACTTCTGGTAATCCATTGTCAGTAGTTATCAGGTCACTTGTGCACTTCCTGGGAGTTGCTCAAGTACCATTGGGGTGGACTAAAGGGTTACCCCCCAAATCTCTCAACAAGTCTGTGAACTTGGAGGGACAAGAATACAGAAAACCACCAAATATTCTCAAAGAAGCAGAGGAGGACATTTCAGAATCCTTCATTATTTTCAATGGGAATTGACTAGTTCCGCAGATGGGATTAAGGGCAGTTTAGCTGTGTAGAATGCACAATTGAATCCACTATAATAAACCATCTCTCATATCAGTGAAAACCAAAGAAAGCAAAATTGTACATAATTGGATGTTTCCAGGATTTTTGCAACTTACATCAAAATGCAGCTTTATGATGCAGATTTTAAAATAAAGGAAAACACAGCCTATCAAACTTTCCCAGCTTTCATTGCGGTTAAACTGCATCGGTTGACCTATCAAGATTAAACTCAGTTCCAGCACTTCACAGGCTGTATAAGTATTAAGTATTTCTGCCACAAATACAGCAGGCTAACAATAGCAATAGCACACATTTGGAAAATAATATGATGGAACACATTCCTTCTGCTTTAATGTTCAGATCTATGTCCAGCTATAGCGTGGATGAACAATTAATTTTAATGCAGAGTTTCTGCTAATTCAATGTTCCTCTTTGGAGAGTAAAGGAAGGCCACGACTGTGTGAGAGTTAGTGCAGGAAGCAGCAGGTAGATGAGCCAGGACTTCTCAGGCTAAGTTGATAATTACATTCAGTCACTCAGCAGATCTCACTTCCTCAGGACTGTCTTCAAAAGGTCTAGAACAAAGTAATAAAAATCATGACAACTATATATATTGAACATTTACTCTCAAACAATTGTAATCCAATCTGTTATGAACATTATTTTTCACAAAAGTAATTCAACTTTATCCGTTACTTCAATGCAATTATGTTATAAAATTTAAACATAATGGTTGCTGAACAACTCTTTACACAGATTATAACGTTGTTGAGATGGCTCATAGCGCTTCACGGAATACATTGTAAAGTGAATTGACTGTTTACTTTGTGGCTGAACGCGGCAGCCAATTGCGCACAGCAGTGTCCCACAAACAGTCTTGGATTGAGTGACCAAATTATTATTATTTGTTTTTAAAAGGCATTATTACCCCTGGAAAGTGACCCACCAATCAACAAATAAAATAATTATTATAGTCACAAGTTATCAACAGGTTCAGTTGACTTTGTGCATTATTCAGCGTTTAATTCCCCCCCCCCACACAAACTCCATTTCTCTCCCCCCTCACCAGTTGCTTACCTCCCCTAATGGATACAGTTAGTGTTGGTTAGTGTTACAGGACTCTGGAATATTGTAAAGGTATTGGAACCAAGCATGAATTGTACTTTTTGGAAACCAATCATCATACTTAAGAGTATTGAAACCAGTTTCACATATGTAGGCCACTGATGCAATGACACTTTCCTGTGTCTAGAATTGAATGTGCATTCTCTCTGGTGCAACGGAAAGTATCACATTCAGCTTAGCCAGAGTAATTCAGCAGCAGCCACTTACAACAACAAATTGCATTTATATAGTACCTTTCATGTCAGGAGACCATCCCTCTGCATACCAGGCAAAGAACCACCATGAAGGAGTTAATTAAGTTGGCTACTAAGAGAAGTGATGACCTCTGCCCTGTTCTATATATTCAGTGGATTATCTTTTACATGCACCAGAACATCTTGTTATGCAGTTTATTATAAGACTACTGATTGTTTGATTTTCATTTCCTACTACATTCAACATCAAAAGAAACATGTATTAGAATGGAAGCAAATGATACTTTATGTGGCACAACAGAATACCAAATAATCTTAAAGCCTTCTGTTATGAATTCCTGACAAATCCATTTACATATACTCCAGCTAGAGACCTGGGTGACACTGTGGGTTAGGCACATCATTCATCTACAAAACAAGGGTGCAAATTCAGCCGTACTAATAGGATCAGTTAGTAGCTCTCTCACCTATGAGTCAGAAAGTTGTGAGTTCAAGCCCCAGGTCAGGACTTTGAGCTCAAATCTAAGCTGACACTCCAATGCAGTGTTGGGAATGAGCTGCATTGCTGAAGGTGCCATTCTTTAGATGAAACTTTAAACCAAGGTCCTGCCTGCCGATTCAAAAAGAGAAGGGAGTTCTCCTGGTATCCTGGTCAACAGTCCCCCAAATAAAATTGGTCATTCCTTCAGGACTATTTTTGGCACATTGTCATGGGCAAATTATCTGCTGTATTCATCTACAAATTACAATCCTTCTATTCTTTACAATATATCCTGTGAAGCACTTTGAGATGTCCTTCTGACATGAAAGGCACTATAACGAATGCAAGGATTGTTTTTATTATAAGAAGTCTCCTCTCTTTTGGCTTGTGTAAGGAGGAGGTATTTATTCTCTTTTTTTCTTTTGCTTCCTTTTGGAAAAAAAACACACATCTAGGCACTTATCATATAATCCTTCCCCACTCTGTTATATATGAGGCACAATGTGACCAGTACTTTCACAGAGAAAATACACAACAGTTTGAGCCAGCACCGGGTCAAAATGTTAATCGAGGAGCCTGAACTCCTCTTAAAGACCATACCTATACAATTGATCTAATGTTCCTCATTTCGTCAATTTTCACATTAGGATTAAAGCAAAATAGGCAGTGACAAGACTCTTAAGAAATAACTGTTTAGAACATGTTGGAGCACTTATCATCCTGAGCTGAAGCAGACATTGGTGAAAGATTTTAAATTGTTCCAGGTAGCTGTCTTGTAGGGAGCGTTTAGAAATTCCCTGCATGTTGTTCACTACTTGATTAAAATAAGTGGAATTAACTCCTTGGCAGTTCCTGGTCTGCCAGAGAATGACGAGGAGAAGAAAGATTTTCATCCAATTTGTTAACGTGACAGCTAACCCAATTTGTTAACCTAACCCAAACGTTCAAGTCATTTTGAAGTGCAGCTATGCCTAAGTACTTGTTGTCTTGTACACTCAGATCTAAACAACATAGTCCTGTAAAAAAGGAGCCAGTTACACTTATAGATTATTATTAATGACTCCAAATTGGCTACATGTTTGTGCAAGAGTTGGCCATACCACTAATGGGAGTGTGCGTTTATTTTCTTCAGTGCGCCCTCAAAAGTTTAAATTTTACTTCTGTTTTATCTGAAGGTCTGTTTTCATAGGGAATTGCCTAGATTGAAACGACGTTTGTTTTAAACAGAACATGAATGCTTTGTGCACATTGAAGTGGTTCTTCCTGACATAAGTATGCAGCGGTGAATAAGAAGCTTGACGTAGCTCATTTCCTCAGATTATTGAAATGCAGATATAGTCAGTTTAAGGCATAAAGCATATGCAGTCTTATGATAGCCTGTTTCATGTGTCAAGCAAAATGGATCAACTACTAAAGCATTCAATTCCCTAACACTTCACACTAAAATTGAGCAAACAGGATTCTTATATGCAAGGAACTGCACCTTACAAAAAATTAGATTCAAAAGAGCCAGACACAAACTTCAAACCCGAGGAAGGCGAGACAGGCTCGCTAAATGCCACTCTCACGAATATAACCCGAATCCAGTATGAAATCATGATAGATGAAACTAAAAAGGATAAAAATTGTAAATAGTTTGTTTCTTTGTAGCAAAGTTCAATTTCAGTATTCACCCCAGTCACTGCACATGCTTGCAGCTCATTTCCTGTGCACGCTAAAATAGCAGACTTCCAGGTTAAGATTGTCACCAACATCGCTTCCTATTAACTGGGCATGTGCAAAAAGCAATGTCCATAGCAACCTGATGACGAGCAAGCTAGACATTTTTTGTTTAAGCATGTGAACGCTTTACTATACAGGGGTTAGGATTTATGGATTCCAACATTTTTGTTAGAACAAGGCTCTACTGCATATATTATTTGGTCTATATATAGTAAAACAAATTAAATTCAAATTAAATTTGTGAGGTTTATATTTTTGCCTTCTAAGGACGAGTTTATGAAATGAAACCTGGTTTGCAATTGTTCATTCCTGGCCATTTAAGTTTTTCATTTGCACCTGTGGAAAGCAAGCACATGCTGCATAGTTTAAGCGTGACCCTGGGTGCAGGTAGAAGTAACAGCCTCTGTTTGAAAGTAAGCAAGGGTCGGAGGGCATTCAATAAATTGAATCAGACAAATGCACAATATTGTGACACCTTACAACTATAAATACAAGACTAATGGACAAAAAAAATGAAAAAGGTACTGCAAAACAACCCATGTCTGATTAGCAAACTAAAGTACAGGCAATATAAAGAACAAGGTGTATGAAATATTTAAGTTTTGTGATCCTGAAGTTATGTTGAGATAATGAAACCATAACTACAGTCATTTGAAACCAGGTCCAAGATGGTTATTTGTTAATCCAAGAGGAAATTAATCCTTTGATGACTAGTCTAGTTACCAGGTATATTAAAATGTGGAGATGTTGCTGCCTGACAAAGCCCACCATTTCTACGGGGGAATATTGTTGTAATAATAATAATCCTTGCATTTGATATAGCACTTTTCATGTCTTCTCGACGTCTCAAAGCGCTTCACAGAATAGACTGTAAAGTGAATTGACCGTATATTTATGGGTGAAATGCGGCAGCCAATTGCGCACAGCAGTGTCCCACAAACAGTCGTGGATTGAAGCGACCAATTTTATTATTGTTTTTTTTTTGAGGGATTATTATCAGGTCTGTGGAGTAAGGAAACTTGTCCAAGGTTCCATAAAATCCCAACCAGGAGTTCATTGGGGCACAATTTCAATCAGCATTCACTACACATGCGTGCAGAAAGCCGGCCAACTTTTGTGTGCTAAACAATGACCAATTTGTGGCCATCATATTCCTGCTGATATCACTTTATGTGCAGCATGTAGGAAGTGATATTGGCTGCCACCCAAGGACCTAGAAGTTTTATTTTAAAAGCACCCAAAGCCAAAATGATTGCGTTCCAGATCACCAGACTGTTGTGGCATCATTCTTGAGCAAAGTGACAGTAGTGATGATCCAATAATAATAATCCTTACATTTGATATAGTGCCTTTTACATTGGGAGGAAATCCCCAAGCGCTTCACAGGATATACTACAAAGTGTGGTGACTGTTTTGGAAGCAAACAGGTTAGCCGATTTGCACACAGCAATCCCCCACAAACAACCATGGAGTGAGTGACCAATTTTATTTGGGGGGACTGTTGGCCACGACACCTGGAGAAACTCTGTTCGCTTTTTGAATAATGCTTTAACGACCAATGAATAGGCAGATGAGGCCTCTGATAAAAATCTCATCTGAAGGACAGCACTTCTGGCAATACAGCACTCCCTTAGCATTGGATTAGAGCCTCAGTTTAGACTATATGAGTTCCAAGTCTCGACATGTGGCTTCAACCCTTCTGCGTCAGAGGTGAGAATGCTACAAACTGAGCCAGGCTGACAAAACAGAAGTCAAAAAAAATTTTGGTCCAATATCAAGGTCGGCACCCAATCCCGTTAGAATAAAGCACATTATAACAGGGTTCATTCGTACTTGAAACCGAATGTGGGGAAAGCAATGGTTAGTACTTTGAAAGTTCTACAGGTTAAAGTTAGTTTTATTTAATCTTAAACAAACGTAAATGCCTTACTAAGACGATTTGAACGTTACACAATTATTGACTCATTATTTATGAAACCTAATGAAAAATGAGGATCAAGTTTTATGGCTATAAAATCTATGGTGTCTGCATTTATATTAAAAGATAATGGAATTTACCAGTTTTTGTTTTGTCATATAATGAATTTAGTGGATGTTCCCATAGAAACTTACCTTTGCATTTGCAATAGGGAGGGTGTCTGGGAAGGAGTTGGCACTCCTGGAGAAGGACTCATCAACATTGCGCTGTAAATATTGGAGGCAACCACTAATATGCATAACAGAATAGGTCCAATGATTGCTCCTTCTATCCCAAGGTAGTAAGCTCCTCCAGCGACTGCCAGACCAGTGAGATATGGATGACCACCTCTATGAATTAAACAATACAAATATAATAGTATAAATTAGATTTTCCAGGTAGTTTTTTTAAAAAAACAGGCATATTTCAATATTTGTTGTTTTAGAACAACAATTTGGAGAGTGAGATTTAAAACATGGGATGCATCTATAGCCTCTCCAACCTGCTCACATCTTGTTCCTCTACCTGTCCCTTCACTTGGCCAGCTAGATTCTTCTGCACGTCTACAGACCCTACCGTTCTACCATTGGCACGTGTTTTCAGGGGTGAGACGAAGCGACTACCGGATTCCACATGTTATTCATGGACTAAGTTGTGATACAGAGCATACTATTGTAGCAATAACACTGCTCCCAAATCATGTACAGCTTTAGTACTGTAAATTTAATCTTCAACTATTGCAATTAAATAAAAATAACATTTTGCCTGTATTCGCAATTCATCTCTTCCCCACTCTTTTCTCTCTATCCTATTCACTTTTCATACTTTAATTTTACCCTATCTAAACTAATCCTATTCTATGTCTTCCACTCATTTTTTCTATAAACATTGAAACCTTTAATTTCATTCTACAGCAGGTGCAACACAAAGTGGCTATAGTTGTTTCCAATTGTGATTGTGAACCCGGCTTCAATTTATGTTATTTATTATCAGGGGCAGCACTGCCTCTAGAGATACCCATGCTGCGTCTTTTATTTACTGTGCTGTCACCCATGCCATGTACAAAATAATACCATGTGAAACTTACCCAGAAATATCTGTATAAATAGCTGTATCCACAAAGTATGTTGGTAGCAGATGACAGACGAGCAGCAGAATGGCCATGAAGTTCTCTCCCTGAGCTAACCAGAGGTCCAAAACAGCTGGCACAGCAGCCCAGTATGTTCCCAGGAAAGGGACTGCTCCAAGGATGGCTGCCAGAGCTACCAAAATACATAATTGCACAATATGTTTTACTACGTAAAGTACGACTCTGGTGTGAATTTACAAATCTCCAATCTTTGCACCAATCTTCAAGTCTAATTATCTTCTACATAGCATCAATTAGGCAGTCAACCTGATTTAGCCTTAAAGCAACACCACTTGTGAAAAGCAAATTGTGGGAATTAACCTCATCATAGCTCAGAGATGTTAATAATCTTCAACACTGGGGACAAGGTAGGATTACTTTGCTATAAATATATCAAATGTACACAGTGCTGGCACCTAAGGTCTCATTGATATCTCAGCTATGGAATTTGATGAAGGATACGATTAGTTTCAGTTGATAAATAGGAACAATCATTTTAAATTTTAAATCAGGAACAACTGAAATCCACCTGGTTGATCCCAAACACATCTTCAAAATTATTAAAGGTTGGAGGACACTAGGTTCTGTTCATAAATTAAAGCGTCCATTTTTAACATTGACCTCAGATTATAATGCAAACCATTTAAGGAAGGAAGTCTCTCAGGCCAATATTTCTCCATTTTCTTCATATTGGGCAGATTCCACTGAGCTATTTTGAGTGAAGACTGAGAAAAGTCACCAGTCATGTAAAGTAAAAGAATAAATTAAATAAGATGTTTAGAACATTTAGGCCTTTGCGTTGTTTCAAGTTGCTGAGTTATACAGCCTGAAAAGGTTCAAGATGTTCATTCAAGATTAAAATTACGAGCATGAAAGAGGAAGCTAGGAAGATTTTTTTCCTGCCAGAGGGTTGTCAGATCATGGAATGATTTGCTGGGGTGATTGTTGAGCAGAGTTAATTGGGACATTTAAAAGAGAATTAGTAAGCTTATGCTAAAGAAGTGTTGAGAGGGTAAAGAATAGGGAAATGGAAATAGAACAGATTGGCTTTAAAGGAGAAATGAGAACAGATACTAATACAATGACTCACTCGATTGGCTGCCTAGTGTCAAAGATTTCTATGAAGTGATCACAACTGTCCACTAATCATAAATTATTTAAAATCTTTCAGAAAGTAATATACAACAGATAGTATAGTAAGCCTGTGTCTGGAAGAAGGTGTCCAGTTAAATCATCCTTCATATACTCGCCACTCTTTCCCTTGAAGCAATGATTTCTCTGCAAGTGTACCAATGCATTGCACTATATAAAATCATGTTATGCACCAAACTTTAACCTGGCCTAGCTGATCTTCAACAGTATATCAAGTACAATTTCAGATAATTAGCATCTTCAGTTTTTTTTAGATTTATTAAAAAAATCCAATTATTAGAATTTCCTCATAAAACAGGCTGTATTTTAATGTAGCTCTTAGTATAGCAACAAATTTGAAATGCTCTAACGTACAGGACTTTTTCACAGTTTTATGTGAATGTGAAAACAACAAAGTAACTCACAATGATAGGGTTATTAACACAAAAGTTCACATATACTAAACAAACAAGGCAATTTATCCTTCACTGAGCAAAATGGAAATGCACAGATAATTAATTACCTGAAGGAATGAAGACAATATTGATGCCAAATATAGTGTGAGTCAGCCATGTATAAAGCCCGTAAAAAGCAGCCATCTTGAGGGAAGCATCAAATACACCACTGATAGAGCACAAAGAGAATAATTACATTTTCTGGTTTATTTTATATAGTACTGTATCTGAACATGCCAACATTGCCACTTGCAACACAATATATGAAACTAATAAAATTCCTAAAAAAATTACCTGTTATATTTCCTGTCCAGTTTTTCATACAATTCTAAAGCCCTTCCTAAAATAATGGAAAAATTGAATCACTGTTGTCTGATGGAGTAAAATGGCCTAAAAAGGGTAATTTTTTTTATTAAGTCATCTTCCTCTTTGGGTAGAAACATAGACAAAACTAATCCATGCTATTTCATTCATAATAAAACAATGATCTGTACCAAATGCTGTTCCACCATTGAAAGTCTTTCTCCATACTTACTCATTGCATCCTGGAGCATCCTTGGATCTCTTACAGTGACCAATAATGCAACTTCTGGCAAACCTTCTGCATCCAAATATGGGTAAAATGTCATCGTTGGTTAGTTATTAAACACAGGAATACCTATGTGATGGAATACCACTTGCTCCAGATGCAGTCAACTTTCATGCCTCTGTAAATAATTATCTTGGGTGCAAAGAGTGGCTTTATTGCAGTCTGCCATAGTCCTGCAGCTAGGTTTCCAGTTAAATAAAGAAGGGCAGCCAAGGTTTTACACGTTTGTAATTTTACTTGGAACTTGACTCACCTACAAAATTTTACCCTTTGAAATTAAAAGTCGAGAATGCTAAAAGGATAAAGTGACTCACTTCCTCATTTCCTTTATTTGTTTGGTGACTATTTTGGCGAGTAAACTTCCCATTATGAAAAATACATGGCAGATTCATTGTAATTTATTTCTGCACCTGCATTTGTAGTGAAACAAGTAGTTGTTTGATTAACCTTCTAGGAGGCACTAAATATTTCTCAACATAACAACATCTGCATTAATTACATTAATTTGGTGAGTCTGGACATTAATTTTCTAATTCACACAAACTCTGAAAAATGTTAGTACAATATTTCCTGTTTGACTCAATGACAACCCATTTTGTATATTTGTCTTCCATCCTAATCAATCCCATCATTGCATCACCTAGAGTTCAAAAAGGCAATACACTTCTACCATTAAGTGTAGTTATACTCCGTATAGATTACGGGCTTGTAATGTGATTTGGGGAAAAGGAAACTACAGCAGGATCTGTCCTTTTAAAAAAAATTAAAATTTTTAAAATTAAGATTGGATCCTTATGATAAAATCTGAGCCAGAAACTTTAATGTAAAGGTCACTGAGACTGCAGAAGCCAATTGTCTTACAAGAAGGAAAGTAATAATATTGTTTCTGTTATGCAGAATGAACATACACAATGGGCATTTGAAAAACACAACAAATTTGTTTGTTGTTAAAAGAAAAATATTGAAAGAATATAAAGTTACATAGTATAAACTTGCTAAACAATGGAGACATTCTGAACAGCACAGGCTAGCACAATACACTCAAGATTGCAAGAGAAGTTCAGAAAAAGGCTTTTCAGCCTATTTAATCTTATTTTTCCAGAATACCAACTCTACCTTCTTCCCATTACAGCATCAAGTGAGTAATACAACCAGTATCGTGGCTTCAACCACCCTTTCTATTAAAAGTGGGAATCAGCCATGTTTGTTTGCACTGCACCTTGAATCATAGCGCACAAACTGTATCAGATATGATTTGACTAGAGGAATGTATAGCTTAAGCCGTGATTTGAACTCAACGGACTTGGCAATGTAGTTTAGCAATTCTTTTAACTTTATTTACACGCATGTTGTAAAGAGAGGCAGTTAGGTTATCATTGACAACGCACGGGTTCATCCAGAGAGTACTGAACCATTCATGGGTAAGGTCCCATTTTCAATCTTAGGTCTGTGTTGACTTAGCTGATATTAGATGGGGTTCTACCAGTGCTTTTCAATAGGCCTTAGTACCCCAGGTTGAGGGAAGGTGGTGGGGAAGAATAGGGGGAAAAGAGAAATCAGGCAGAATTCCAGCATGAATGTTATCCTGTAACCCTACTGGAGGTGCACATGGGCAATAATAAACCTTAACAGTGAGCATTTCAGGAAAGTGTGTTGGACTGATGCCTGTGGAATTTTACTCCAGTTAAAGGAAAATCACTGATGTCAACCAAGGGGAGGGCATTAGTGAGCAAAAAAAAACTGAAGAGGCTGCATTCCCTTCCCCCCAAAATCGCTATGTAAGCTGTGTTTGTAGCACTGTACATCTTGAACAGATTCCAGAATGAGAAACTGAAGCTGAACATTCCTTGAAAAACCCTTTCTGCTGCGTCAGGTATGGATGAAGGACCTATGGAGCATAAGGGTAAAGGCTTTGGTTTGTTGTTCTGGTCTGGCTCTTGCTTCCAGAGTTAACATGAGTCCTTGTTGCAATATTTATCAAGTCTATTCCGTAGCCTTTTCCTGCCAATATTAACAGAATTTGCAGCCAGAAATATTGTATTACATTTCCAAAACACTGGAGACACTGCTGTGTGATTGATAGTACCAAAATGTGTTCTGCAGCTATTTTAGAATTTAACATTAGAAACTGTCATAACAGTTAGAAAAACTCCATAATTGGATGAGCTAAACAGATATCTTTTAATGAATAAAACTGTCAGTTATTTCTAAAACTGTTTCCCTCACAATTAAGTAGCGGGTGGTTTTATAGGATAGCGTAAAAGGTCAGATAGATTTTTGTGTTGAAATAAAGGAAGAAACATTATGTAGATCGGGAAGACAGGGCAATACTCTGCATTAATATATTGTAGCTTCACCGCTGGGGCCAGCCTTGAATCCGGTGCCTCTGACAGCTTTAACAGTACTGTGTTAAAAGAGGATGTGGCATGCCTACTGGAGTTCATAATTTGGTCCAATGGCCAGTGTCAGACAGATCATAAAGGTGACCACTGTGAGAAATCTAAACAGACAGAAAACTAAAAGCACTCAGTAGGTATTGGTCACTACACTTTACAATATATATTCTGTGAAATGCTTTGAGATATCTCAACGATGCGATAAGGCGTTATATCAAATGTCTGGATTATTATTATTATTGGGAGGTGGAGATTGTGACATGTGGCTGTGCATCTTAGCGCAATATTTTGTAGCTATTCTGTGTTTACACGATCAGTGATGAAGCAGGTTTAATAGATTCCTCTTTTATAAAATCATATCATAGAATCAGAGAATTATACAGCACAGAAGGAGGCCATTCAGCCCATCGTGTCTGTGTTGAGTCTTTGAAAAGAGCTTCCAAATCAATCCCACTCCCCCGTTCTCTCTCCCCATAGCCCTGCAAACTTGTCCTCCCCAAATAATTATCTACTTCTCTCTTAACAGCTGTTATCGAATCGGCTTCCACCACCCTTTCAGACAATGCATTCCAGTTAAGGAATCTTTCTTCAAGACTGTCTGTCTGTCTAGACTTTGTCTTAGAATCTCTTTCTCTTGAAGAGGGGAGGACAAATGTGGAGCCCTGTAGTTCAGTGGTTAGAGCACTCTCCTTGGGAGCGAGACACCAGTCAGGGCGAAACCTTGGGCAAATTTGCTTACGCCACATGTCTGATAATAATCCCTCCAAAACAAAACAATAATAAATTGGTCATTTTCAATCCACGACTGTTTGTGGGACACTGCTGTGCGCAATTGGCTGCGGCGTTTTGCCCACAAATATACAGTCAATTTACTTTACAGCATATTCTGTGAAGTGCTTTGAGACATCTAGAAGACGTGAAAAGCGATATATCAAATGCAAAGATTATTATTATTATTATGATGACTATTTCAATTCAAACTAGGAAATCAGCTTGTCTCTTAAATTTCTAAGATTTCAAAAAAATCTTGGAAGCTTCTGGTTAAACCTATTATGATGAAGGAGAAACATCAAGATCACCTCATTTTAATGTAAGTGGGTGAGGTAAATTGGCTGTTAATGCCTAGTTGCCCAGTTGCTGCTGATTTCTGGGGTATAACAAATTCAAAGATTTTAGTCTCTTTTTACTTGGTTGCTGCCATCTCTCTACACATAATAAAATTAATGCAATGTCTCATCACATTGCATTATTAAAGCACTTCCCACAAAGCAGTGACACTAACATAGTCAAACACAACAGACAATCTATCCAAGTAGCACACCCACAAACAGCAGTAAAATGAACAATTACCCTTTTTGACAATTTGGATGAGGTAGAAATGTTAACCAAAATAGTGGGAAAACTCTTTTCCCATCTCCAAACTAGTGCCAAGGAATCATTCACATCCACCTGAACCATCAACACCGATTGATAGGACCTCGGTTTAACATCTCACCCCAAAGGCAGCACTTGTAACACTGCAGCAATCTCTCAAGTAACACACACAATTATCGGCCTGGTGTCTAGATTTCTGATCAACATTTAGGCTGTTCTTGGTGCTGATACATGGGACTCCCTAAAGAGCTGCTTCTTAACAAGCCTGAAATGGATGTTGAAGGGATTCCTGAAATAGCAGCCCTTTGAACTTTAATTATTAAAAGAGAAAGAAAGGCTAAGGGAAACACTTTCAGTGCCAAGTTCTTGTCCATTTATTTTCAAAAATAAGTAACATCTCTTGCTCCTTCAGTTTCAGGATGTTTCATTTCATTCTGTTGATGACATCCCATTTCAGACTGTTGCTCACGCCAGGAAGCTTTCAATGTGCCTGTTACAGGGACAGCCTGCAAGCATCCCAGAGTGCTCCATTCATTTACACAGGAATTGGGTGATTCGGGCCAAGCGGGAAGCCAACCTGAAGCAGCAGAGCTTGATAATTGAACTGCAGTCTGGTACCTCTGTGTACTCAGCTGGAGTTAATCATTTCCAGCCTGGATGCTTCCAGTCTGCTCCAAGTACCAATCCTTATATAAATGGATGCATCTGGTCCAGAAACTATGCACATTTCCCTATAGCGTACATCAGAACGGATAGGAATATGAGCAGAGTCCTGGAATGGCCAGTTTCCAAGGGAGAGGAAATGAGTCATGAAATCAGAAGACATTTCCTGGGAACCTTCAATTTTTTTCAAAAAAGCAAATATTCTGTTTTGAAGTATTTGCAACCTTTTCTTCTCTTTTGCACAATTTACTGACAGCGCTTTAAAGTCAGAAAACAGTAGTTTAAAAACTGGGGGAGGGGATTACAGAATATCTAGATTACTAGAATAAAGCAAGAAAGTTTAAAGATCATCTTAGAGTAATAATCAGGGTGTCCACTTTTAAATGATGACAGTATGAAATAAATTGGAAATCAAGTTTAAAAAGATGTAGCGGTAGTGTCATTTAAAATTACAAATGTACAAATGCAAGTTGTTTAAAAATAAAGCATCAAAATATTTTAAGAGAAAACATGATCTCTTTCGTGAAAGAGAAACAAGTAGAGAGATATCGAAAAAGTGAATAGGAGGGGCAGAGGCTTGTGTGGAGTGTAAACAATGGCACGGACTAGTTGGGCCAAATGGTTCATTTCCATGCCATAGTGTCAAAGTTTTCTTTCCGCTTCGCTAGGCACTCATGCTTGGGCTAAACTGGAAAATTAAGGTAATATTGCTTGAGTGAAGTACTGAAGAGCAAACTTCATTAGATTAGATTCATCATAATAATTCTTGCATTTGATATAGCTTTGATCAAGTCATCGAGATGTTCAAAAGTGCTTCACGGGACATACTGTAAAGTGGATTGACTGTGCATTTTGTGGGTGGAACTGGCAGCTAGTTTGTGCACAGTAATATCAAACAGCCATGGGTTGAGTGACACATTTTATTTGGAGTACTGTCAGCCAGGACACTGGGAGAAACTCCCTTCTCTTTTCAAATAGTGGCAGTATGTATAATTGTTTTTCACTGTCGTAAGTAGCCTTTAGTGTCAGTTGCGAGATGGATTGTGGCGCTTGAACCCACAATCTTCTGACTCAGAGGCGAGAATGCTACCAACTGAGCCAGGCTGATACCTTGGTGGAAAGGTAGATCAAAACCTTCATGTCCAAAAGAAAGAGAAACCATCCAGGCCAATTTGTCCATGACTCTCAAGCTAAACAAAGGGTGCAGATAAATAGGTCAATGTCCTGACTAAGTCTGGGGGGAGCATCTCAGACATCAGATTCCCCATTAGGTAGAATCCTGTAGCTCAGTGGTTGAGCACTCGCCTTGCAAGCGAGAGACCTGGGTTCAATTCCTGGCAGGGCGAAATGCTGGGCGAGTTTCCTTACTCCACACACCTGTTTACCTTGCAGTAAGTAGGAACCCAGTTGTTAGTCAATTGGCCGATCGCTTTCCTGGAGGTAATAATTCCTTCAAAAAACTAATAATAATAAATTGGTCACTTCAATCCAAGACTGTTTGTGGGACACTGCCGTGCGCAATTGGCTGCCGCGTTTCGCCCACAAAAAACAGTCAATCTACTTTACAGTATAATCTGTGAAGTGCTTTGAGACATCTCGAAGATGTGATAAGGTGCTATATCAAATGCAAGGATTATTATTAGTATTATCATCAATCATGGGAGTGAATCACAATAAAGCTCGAACATGGGAGGAGCATAATTCAAATTCTACTTGTATAAAAATAAACAAAGGTGACTTAACGGAAGTCAAGACTAAGTATAAGCATCAGTATACAGCAAACAAACATTGTAGAAAAGATCAGATCCTACACCTTTAATGATTTCTTGACACTAATTTACAACGAAAACATAAAAATACTATCATACGTTCATTTAGATGGGAACACAGATTTCAAATCTGCCTGAAATTCAAACTGAATTCTGCATTGTTTGCTGAAAGGAAAATATTTTCCAAGTGAAAACTACCGATTGCTTCTGTATTTAAAAATATATACTCAATTCACATGCAACTTAAGAAAGAGCACATTCTGTGCTTCTGAAAACCAATGGTTTAATTGCTGGCATTTACCTGCCTATCTCCACAAGCTGTAGCCATACCCGTGTGCATGCACTCACATGAAAGTATCGCACACACCAAGCTGCACCCAGGCTCTCACAACATGCAACTTGGTAGTGTGCAATACCTCCACCAGAGCAAGCAAAATGGGAACTTTAAGTGAAGAATGGGAGAAATGATTCACTCAAGAGACTGAGACACAAACATGCTACTTAAGGAATAAGGAGAAGTGGGTGGGAAGGGTGGTCAAATGGAACTGCATGCACATGCTGTTGTCTCTGATTCCTCGCAGAGTAACTTTTCAAAAACACTTCACCACAGTTACACAAGCACAAAAGCATTCCACCTTTACATCTTGCTAGAATGTAAAGTGCCAATGTGCACCTATGCAAATCTTTATAACAATCATCCTTAATTAGTATAGAAAAATGGACCACCTATTATATCATTAAAATGAGGACAATTAAACAAAATAAGTGTTAATAAATAAGGTAAATAATCACTGAATGCTTTTCTGAAAACTATCAGGAATTGTGTTATTTTGTTGCGAATAGATAAATGTCTGTGCTATCAAAGTTAGAACACACGCAGATTGGTATTAACCTACCGTATGGCTTCCTCCACAGACTGTCCCACAATGTTGGAGGAAGGGCCTGGCTGGGAAAGTGGAGTCAGACTAATAACCCATTTCACGGGTTTGTAGCATTCATCGTTCGAACTTAAGAGGTAAAACAACGTGGTCAAGAAAATTACCTGCAGGAGCAATCAAAGTCAAGTCATGTTACCAGAAACATGAAATGAAACTGCTTTGGGATAACTGAACCAAAACCTTACAATTTCAAAAACTTGGGGAAACATTTTTTGGACCATCAATGCATTAGCTCGATGCCACCGTGTAGGGATTTGTAATTGCTTTAACCATGGAACTCATATAGTCCAAGCTGACACGCTAATGCAGTGCTGGAGTGTGCAGAATTGTTGGAGGTGCTATCTTTTGGATGAGAAGTTCAAACTTTTCAGGTTGATGTTACAGACCCCATCGCACTATTTGAAAGAGAAGGGAGTTTCTCCCAGTGTTTTGGTCAACAATCCCTCAAAATAAAAAAAAGGTCATTCACTTGGTGGCCGTTCGTGGCTATTTGCTGTGTACAAATGGGCTGTCGTGTTTGCATTTCACTGCTCTTTACTGTACATCCTGTGAAGCACTTTGAATAGTCCTCTCAAAGTGAAAGTCACTATACCAAATGGAAGGATAGCATTTTGTGGCAGGATTCACCCAAAACTTTTGTATCAAAAATCAACGATTTTCAGAGTCTGGACTTTACATTTACTGCAAATTTAGCTTTTAGGGTTGCTTTCCGCTAACTCAAAAGACATTTTTGGAAAATAAAATTGCTGCTATTTTAAAATAAATGTTGAATGTAGGGAAGCAAACTAACTGATGAAATATATAGAAACAAATGGCTGATCCAGTCTAAAGAAAGTTTAAATAGGAAGAGGAAACCGGGGGGGGGGGGGGGACGGGAAAGAAAGGAAATATGAGGTATATGGGGATTCCCTAGGGAATGATGACATTCCTGAAAGATCCAAGCTGAGTCAACTCTCTGTGACAGATTTATTGTCCAATATCTAAGCCAAGCAGATCTGCAGACGTCCAGCTATTGCCTTCAATTGTTTGACCTGACTGGCTTATCAATGTAAATGGGATGCACAAGGAGGACTTGTCACTGCAAGACAGGATTCTTTCCACTTGGCCGTAACAGGTGGGATAATGCTAACTGAAAAACAACAGAAATCTAACCAATACCATTTTAGCTGATTCAATTCTAGCAGTGAACATTGTGTTCATCAGGGAAAGCATTGTCTTCTTCCAAGACCACCTTTATGATGGAAAACTAAATGGTGATAGGAGCAGCAAAGCATTATTTCCTGCATTATGTTCTCTATCTCTGCACTCGGTCAGGATAAGTCAGCAAAGTGCTTAGTCTATGAGAGGAAGTATATTAGAGGCAAAATCATCCTGAGCTACTCTTGTGCATTTCCTAGCACTCAATTACAAAGTGACAGGGCGGATTTCCAAGTTGCATAGTCACCCCCACTCAACATTCCCAAACTATTCCTTGATAAGAAATAGTTTGGCTTGGAGACCGTAAAGTTAGGGAAGGAGAGAAAAAGAAACATGACTTGAGACAATGCCCGTGTGCCTGTTTCACCTGTGAAATGCACTTGCTTCCTCAACACTACTATGATATTCCATCAACATTCAACAACAGAACACTTGAGATACATAAAAGCACCACAACAAACATAGGAGTTAAGATTCGTGCAATGAGTGTCAAGATATAAATTGTACAATATATACAGCAAGTTCAATTTTACCCCAGTATACCATATATTGCACTGAGCAAACAGTATAACACAGGGCCATGCTAAATTCCTCACCAATGAGAGAGCAAAGTTGAGAAGTGCTGTACCACTGTGAAACAGAACAGTAAGTAAGGTGGTGGTAGTTGTAAACAGTAAGCTCACGTTGCGGCTCATCACAATCCAGAGAGACTCCAGTATCTGTAAACACAAATACAGAACGTAAATCCTCTCAATTCTGCTCCTCCGTAATTTCAGTATTTCATTTGATTAGTTTTCAAAAGCAGAAAGTAACAGTCGTTCAGTGTGTGAGTTGACAGAAAATTATTCACAACAAAATCCATACAAAGCAAAATGCGCACTTTAGTGGACACAATTAGTGAGGAATTGGAAAGGCCACGCAATTTTTTTTTTACACCATTTCTTTACAAAAATAAACTGAATGTACACAAGATAATGAGAAAAACTTGAAAAACTTTCACTTTCTTCTATACAATACCGGTACATCGACTCCTGTTTGTATAAGATTTCCTGAGAGTATAGTGAGGCCCATCACATAGCAAGATACTTACAAAAGAAAGCGATTTTTCATTTCCCCCTTCCACCAATTGAGAAAAAAATTGTCTCTTACAACCCCGTTAGTCAGTCAAAATCTACAAATCTGCCTATAGCTTACTTGGTCAGCAGTGGAGATTTAATTGAGTACCTAAAAAATAAAGTTCTGGAATAGATCACGCCTTGGTATGATAAATAAACCGATATATCAAAAAAAAGCACAGCAAAGGCCTCCAAACCTTGACATTCCATACAAGTTAGAGGAAGATCCCAATCCTGGGCCACCTAGGGGTACATACATCACCACCTCCAGATAGATTTGTACTATGATTTGACTTTGGGAACTAAACAATTGGGAAGACCTAAAAAAATGCAATTTGTGCAAAACACAAATACTACTCTACATAATGTTTGTGTTTTGCACAATTTAACTCCGTTTTACCAGTTTGTGGAGATCTAGGCTTCGGAAGTCCCCTTACATTAACGTTACTGCCAACATTATTATATAGTGCATAAATTCACAATTCACAGTCCAATCACAAATTGATGATTTTATTTTCCTGAGCCAGAGGAATGAGAGGAACATCTTGCTACATGTAATGTTCCATTGAACAAGGTGTCCAAGAAAAAAAATCATCTCTCAACTGAGACAGGCAAGTTTTGAATGACGTGCAATCACAGGTCAACCTCACAGTTATCGGGTAGGCAGTCAACTGTTCAAGTATTTGGAGTAATCTCTGGGGCCAGATTTTTATATTCAGCAAAATATGCCACTAGAAATTTTAAAATAAAAGCGAAGCTTTACCATCAAACACATGTCAGCTAGCAACTACGGTAAATTAACTTTACATAACAACTTAATAATATAGCACCTCGTCATGTGGTAAGACATCTCAAAGCATTTCACAAAATTTATTGTAAACTACAGTGACTGGGAATTTGTAGGCGAAAGCAGCAGCCAGTTTTCACAGTAATGAGCAACAAATTGTTGTGAAGTAAATGACCAATTTTATCTGAGGATTGATGGCCAGACCACCTCTTCTAATAGCTCCATGAGGTCTTCAGTGTCCACCTGAAAATGTAGACAGGATCTCATTTTAATCTGAAGGATGGTACCTCTGGCAATGCAGCACTCCAAACTGCAATGGAGTGTCAGCCCAGACTGTGAGTTCAATATTCCAGCATGGAGCTTGAACCAATGGTCTAAAAGTGTTCCGAGAGGCTACCCGTGTGAAGAAAATCCAATATAAATGCAAATAGTAGTTGTTGTTGTTCTGACTCGAGAGTCAGGAGCTATTAACTGATCCTAGTACCTGTACGCTTTAACAACTGTTATATTTTAAAATGGAACTCCTGCTTCTCTGCTGAAAATATTTTTAGATTTCAATGCATGACAACTCGGTTTGATTCACAGCAGATATATGTGGGATGAAGAACGTAACAGGTTCTTGCACTCTCCTCACAGCAGAGTGCCACAAAAGAACCCTAATAGGTAATAATTTCCTTCCAGCGTGACGACTGCATATTATCTCATGTGCTTTGTAGTCCAAGTGCAACCAATAGATTACACAAGGGCTGCCTCGTACATATTTTTAAGATCAACTCAGTTTCCAGGGAACAAACTGGAATAAACAACACAAAATTCAGTTAATCACAAAATCTTTTTGCTGTTCATTTCTTAATTAAAGGCATCTGTGTTTCACTCTGTTTACACATCGTGTTTAATGCACCTGCATTTATACAAGACTAACAGATGGTGCATAATATTCACATTTTAGGATTTATTTTCTCTGGCTGAATAGTATTTGGCAAGGAAAAATAGAATTTTGATGAATTTAAAACTTCATTTGTATCAAAGGCACTTAGAAACATGAGGAATTTTCATTGTCAACACATGCATGAAGTTCGGGTGTGATACCGAAGGGTAGACACATCTGGAATTATATTCCAGCAGAAGCAATTTTTGATTAGAGCATGGATACAAGTGGCTAAAAAATAAATGTTACTAAAAACCTAAAATCTGAGTTTCCAACACTTAAAAAACACAAGGCAATGTATTGGTCGTAAAATGATAGGGTGGAAGATTAAGCTCACAATAACTTCACAAGGCTGGGTGCCAACCTTAGCTGCATCATTGAGGAAATCTGCTGCCTCTGTACTAACTACAAAATAAATAAGAGTAAAGTTGGCCCCAGGTGGCCCTCACACTCTCCTCGCAGCAGAATGCCACAAAAAATACTCCAAACAAGCTTGTATATGAAATCTAACTACAACCGAAGCACATTTATTCATAAAACAAACTGTGTTACAAAGGGACTGCAGAGGAAACCAAAATATGACACTATCATTGTGCTGGAAGAAGATTTTCTATTTTTTCCCCACTCCTCATACTCTGTTGTATATAAAAGTGAACTGCCATGGAATTTAAACTTTATTCTCAAAATATGGATTTTCTATTCTAATTTTAAAAATCCAGTCCTTAAATCGTTTGGTCAAAATCACACTTGGGACTATATATTATCTTAATAATTTGTCCATCAAAAAGCCCCAAGCAAACCAAGACGTAACATTACAGAGTAATTCAGCATAGGTCATACATGTGAATTCTAAAATAAAATAAAATAAAAATCACAAATCTGCAGGAAAATCTCTGCTATAAACAGTTGTTAAAGGAGCGTTTTTCAATCATCAGCTTCATGCTGCCCTCTACTGGCATTATTCTGCAGCACATCCTAATCAAGGTAAAACTAAGCATGTAAAAATATTCCACACACGTACTTAAAATTACTATTTTAAAAACCTGGTTATCGGAAATGCATTATAATTTAAATGGATAATATTGCATTTGGATATTCCTGGAGTTTAATCCATTAAAACCACGCAGCTTGTCACTGCAGACATTGACAAGCCTCCTGCTGCTTTTTCCAGCAAGTATCACCTACCTGCCTGGTCTTTAGCTTGCAGGGCTAAAAGGAGCTGCGTGGGAAGAATTCCTGCCCCTACTGACTGGTCTGCTCTTCCAAGTCCTAATAATAAATCAAGCTAGCAGGTCAGTCATCAACAGTGCCTTAGAGCACTGCTCAAGAACCAGGCTCCTGAGGTTGACAGCATATGGTTTTCTCAGTAATAATATTTGAAATAGCACCTTTCGCGTCAGCAACATCTCAAAGTATTTCACATGATTTACTGTAAAGTGCAGCAACTACATCTTTCATAGGTGAACGTGGCAGCCAATTTTTCCCTTATGTGTCAAGTGCATCAAACCCAACCAAATCAGAAACACTGACAAATAGATCCTGATAATAATTAAACAAATGCAACATTTGCGTGCCAGCCTAGCTCAGTTGATAGTACTCTCACCTCCGAGTCAGAAGATTGTGTTCAAGCGCCAGGTCAGGACTTGGAATGTATATAAGCTAAGATGACACTCCAATGCAATTTTAAGGGTGTCCTGCATTGTTGGAGGTATCATCCTTTGAATGAAATGTTAAACCACAGTCCTGTCTACCTGATAAGGTGAATGTTAAAGATCCTACAGCACGATTCAAAAAAAAGGGAATTTTTCCTGGTGTCCTAGCCAACAATCCACGACAAGATTGGTCATTCACTTATGGCTATTTGTGTAAATTGGCTGCCATGTTCACCTACAAAACACAGTCACTGAAAAGTGTGTCACTTGAAGCACTTTGGGATGTCCTCCCAAAATAAAAGGTGCTGAACTAAATGTAATAATTATTATTATTACAGCATTTAACATTCTATGTGTAATCTTCTCTCAATTGCTTCAAATATGGGAAGAATGTATACACCACACAGCTACCACTTAAGACTGCTTATGCAGGATTGACACATTTTATTCACAATTTGGATGGCTCATAAAGTGTGCCTGCAGCAACATTATTCCATTAGTTCCACTTTATAAAAACTCCAGCAGATTGTGCTCAGCTAAATTAAATGAGAAAAGGCTCTAAAATCTCCACCCCACTCTTGTAAACAATGGGAAAATGTCTAAAAAGGCAAAACCAACTAGGCCAGTACACAGAAAAATGTAAATGTCATGATTAATAACAATTAACTCAAATCTTAATTGCACTGTTACTTCAACAATAATCATTTTTAAGCTTGTTATTAAGTATTAAGCAGATTCCAAATTAAGCACACTTTCAACAAAAAAAATTGCAATAAATTACTGATCATGAATTAAAACTCATATTAACATTAAAAGTGATGATAATAAGATAGAAAAATATTTTCTCCAATCCTACAGTTTATTGTTTGGAACATTTGGCAATAATAGGATTAAAATGTCTCCTTTTTAAAATTTTCAACTTTGGAAACCAATCTCACCACAAAGAACTGCACAAGCTTTTTATTCACCTTGATATCCTCCACAATCCTACATGTGAAACTTTTGCTGTTTTGTAGGTTTTGGTGTAGTTTGTGTGAAAGAAAGGAAAAATCCCTTCATTTTACCTTTACTGTTCTTTGACATGTTACAATTTGCACACATGTGTTTGTAGAGTAGATCAAACTGAATAAAAGGAGAAACTAAAGATAATACTAATGTTAAAACTGCTAAAAACCAGTTAAGTCAAAAACAATTTGTGTAGTAGTTCACAAAATATTAGGTATAATTCATATGCATA